CATCCCCTGCTCGTTTGCTCGTCCCTTAGTTCCAGCCAGTTGTGGGTTGACAGACCCAATGGTCAGGAGTCATCCCAGACTCTGAGGTTGGGATGCGGTGCCTCCCGAGCGCAGGGCACCCAGCTGGATCTTTGCCGCCGGATCTCAGCACTTCCGGGTCCTGGAGCATTCCGTAGATATGTTGCTTCCTTCACATGCCATCATGCACAGGTCCCCATTTCAACATGTGATGTGTGCCAAGGCAAGTTGATGATTTCGCTCTTTGAGCTTCCGACAGGTCTTGGAACAAGTCAAGAGACGGCGAGAACCAGATTGCACACCTGAGGTCACTTGAGCAGGAAGGGCATTCCTCATTTTACCTGTCCTGCATAATGAAGCATGTATGCAATCAACTTGGCTGGAAGCCTTGAAGGGTAACACGGTAACATGAACGACGTCGCGTGGCCAAAGGTTCCGTTGGGGCAACCGCTTCCCCCATCTCTCAGACGACGCAAAGTCGTACATCCTATTCCAATCCCCTGATTGCTCTCAAACCCACTTGCTAGTTGCAGGGGTTAACACCAGGTCATAAGATAAGTTATGTACCACTCAAATCCAGAAAGGTGAGTATCTCTAGGAGGGGCGATTGTGCGGGTTATTGTCGGTTCCTAAGTCATTATCATGTGAGGTATGATGGTGATTGATGTGAAGCCCCTTGATAGAGGCTAGATCCCTCACAAGTGAAATCTGATGCAGATTGGCCTTGTCCAAGATGGTTTGTTGGGGTAGGGTTAGCCTACAGTTTGCATATTGCTGAGGATGCATTAGAATGTATAGAGATTTATTGGTCCAGCTGGCTTGCCCGCCAACCAACAACGAGCCACCCGTGCTTCTAGGACTTCAGAATAATGTCAAGCTTTTTGTCCATCTCGTTCCCCTAGACCTTTAGGCGGGCTTGCGCGAAAAAGCCAGAGCACGCGAGGGCAAGACCTTTTTTCGCCAAAAGCATAGGGCCATTGAGCTTTCTCCCAGTGCTTCCAGTTGCCCACGAAGCCGCTCTTCAGGGACAAAAGGGAGAATCCCTGATGACCTACAGTGGCTTGTATGGGATCCCCTTTCAGGGGATGATCTCTACATGGAGTACGAGGAAGGCAGCAAGTGGTGGGCGCCTGAGGTGTTTCCGGCGAACCAGTCGTGCAAGAGAAAGGGAACTCCCGGGGTCAATCCCAAGCATAAACAGGTTTTGGGTGGGTAGACCCGGCAACGAATTATTGTCACGGGTCTTCCATCATGTCTCCAAAGGAACGGTGGCTGCTCAAGAAGGAAGACTTGCATATACATCAAACAGTAGTTTGGGCCTCTAGGCATGTCACCTGTTGCAAGCAACCCGCAAGTTCATCACATGTGTGACAGCCAGCCATTTAGAAGATGGCTTTGTGTGCCAGGATCAAAAGACCCCTTTTACTTGGGCTTGGTGGGGTTGGTGATTGACCCCTCCATCAGGAAGCGTGAACGAGATCCTATTGAAGGGATCATGACTGAGGCCCACAGCGCGGACGCTTGTTTGAGGGCTCGGGCTTCTTTTGCCTCAAGGGCTCAGAAGACGGCTGAGCAATAATGTGTTGAATCAATCATGCCAGGTGTCCTTGCACAAAGAAAAGGAGAAGTCGTGAACAACACCCTGAGACGTAGGTTCGTTTCAAATTTGGGGTTCGGGACAAAGAGTTGTGTTCATGTTGTTGTCCTGTTCAAAGCTTGGCAGAAGTCCAACCCGTTTTGGACCTTCGCAATGAACAAACCGATCGCCTCAAAGTCAGTTTGAGGTACATCGGATGCACCAGCGATGTTCGGGACAATGCCTTCTGCGTGACACAGAGGCGCTTCCGAAGGAGACTGACCCGTTTTTGCAAAGCCAAGGCAACTGCCATTCTTTGGGGCCAGTAAAGTTGTTGCGTTTTGGGGAGTTCTCAGAATTAGTTGTTTGGTTGTTTTCTTTTGAAGGGGGGCGGGGTGCTTTCTGAGGGGTGTTTCAGGGTTGTTTCTTGCTTAAAACTCAATGACAGCTTCTCATATGGGATTGTGTATTTCAAGAAAGACCCATATGAGAGTTGTTCTAAGTTGCAAGTCTCAAATTATGTATATAAAAGGTGGTACGGTCTAAAGGAACTAAAATTGCAAGGCCAGCGATGTGGAACGCGAAAGGGCTGCAAAGATCAAGCTGTTTAAGGCTGCTTTGCCCGCGAGAAGCAAAAACTGAAGATGGCGAAAAGACGGCGCAAAGAAAGCGTTCAGCACCTTCAGAAGATATGGATTGCTCCTAAGACAAGGCCCCGCTTCGTGTTTGTGATTGAAGGGAAAGCCCAGGCAAACGCAGCCCAGGCAAGCCCAGGTTCTTTATTCGTGCACGTTCTCAAGCCCCTCTGCCAGTCTGGACTCCGATCGAGACTACAACGTGAAGGTCCGTGAGCGCTGCGCGAGGCCTCAGGAGTTCAGCCGGGCGTATCTCGCGGGCCAACGCTTTTGCGGTTGCTGAAAGGGAAGGTGACTTCCTTTCAGAGGGACCTCCAAGGGAAGCCAAAAGGCAACCACCCACCTTTGGGAGGATTCCCTTTTTAGATTTACCCAAGCCTGCTTTGCGCCAATCAGCAGTCTGCGTTGCTTTCTGGGCCAGTTCATTGAAGCCTTCCACCTAGATTGAGGGGTCCGCGGTTTGGAGACGCCCCTACATTGTTGTGATAGGTGTGAGCTTTCTGGCATTGACCCAACGCCCCGGCGCAACAGGAAGCCAACATCAGAGTTTCGTTGTTTTCTCCATACCCTTTGCGTGACGGCCGTGCTGGTTTGGTTGCCCGTGTATGAAGGGAATCAGGGCCAATTCATCTAAGAGCTTGCAGCGCCTTTGTTGCCTCCATTGAAATGACAAGGCGTGGACCCCAATGCTGACAGCGACTATCTTGCCGACAAGTGCGGAGACCTGAATGGTTTGGGCCTGGCTCGAGTCATTCGCGCTATTTGAGCCATGATTTAGTCCCAGATGGCTTAAGCATCGTATGAACGTTTATTGTTTTCAGAGCACAACCCACCTTCCAATGTACTCCCCTGCAATTCAACATGAAACTCCAAGCACTTTCCTTTTCAGAGGAGCCCTGTCAATTTTCTGAGCAGCATAACAGTCCACGCAGTCTATATCTTGCAGGGCCGGCATATGAGATGCCTCGCCAGCCAAAAAAATAATCGCCCGAGGCCGTTTCGTTGTGTTGCCATAGCGTTGCATCCATGTGTATAGGTGAGCGCCAACCCAAAATGTTCCCGGGCAAACAGTTTTTTCTTGAAGCTCGCAAAACATATGTTGGGTCCCTGGTGCGTTTGTCATGTCTGCAAATCGGCCAAGTTCAAGGTGCATAATATACTTACTGCAATCCATGAAATGGAGTTACTGCGGGACCAACTCATAGAATTGTATCCGAGAGTCTGACATCTACTTTTAACCTTGGCTCATGCAAGCAACCGAAGTAATCATGAATGCGCGCACAGCCATGTCTTGTTCCCAGTTGACTGTGGTAGTTTCTGCGTGTGCGGGTGAGAGGTCATGACACCTGACCTGAAAGCGAAGCGAAGTTCGACTGAGTATGTTTTGGTCCGGTAGGCAAAGCGAAGCATGCCTCAGACATGAGCCCTTCCGCAGTGCATCGTGGTACATACCAACATGAGGTTGGGTTTGTCAGAAGTCCCCTTGGTTCTTTAGCCGTTCCAACCCTCTGACCATTCGGGGTGATTCAGCTCTGTGTCCATGTTCAGTCACATTGTCCTCAGATGTCCAAGTTTGTTGGTGGTCTTTTATGCATGTCATTGTGCTGGTGTTTTTTTCCTTCCAAAAACACCAAGGAGGTTACTTAAGCATGAGTGGTTCAACATGTCTAATTTTTCCCTGGGCTGAATGGAAAGAGAGAACACCCATTCTTTGATGGTGAGTTTAAGGTCGCCCGCTCTGAGAAATGGGGGCTGAATGAGCCAACTCCTACCTCGTTGCGCAGGCTTCGCACAGCCGCGGCGCCGGCGCTGGCGCCCGAGAATCTGACCACTTCGGACTTGCGCCGGGTGGGCCCAGTTTGTGTCGAAGCGAGCGTGGCTGGTGTCTTTTTTGAGGAGAACTGCCGAAAAGGGGTTGGTTGAAGGAAACCCACGGCTACCACCTATTTGGAGGGTTCACCATTTTGAGACCCTCTAAAACGGGCTTGAAATAGCGGGTGCCGTGTGGGCTTCGTCACGTTTTCGGTCATCCGCCACGCAGATTCCTCTTCGAATGATGTATTTTGGGGTTCAAAATCAGCATGTATACCATCAGTGCTAAAACCAGGGGAGCCCATCGTGTAACACCTAGAGGTAAAACGATTCCTGCCAAATTGCCTGAAGCACTGGGATAGATCTCGCTTCAACAGGGCTCCTCAAAAGATACATTTTGCCCATTTGAAACATGGCTTTTTCCACCAAAATACAGGGGAACCACCATTTATAAGGCAAAGTTTAGGAGTACAAAGTAAGGATCTTTGTTCAAGTGGGACTGCACAGAGTCCTCCAGTCCTTCCCCATAGGTTCCCGCCTGAGGCAAGTACCGCCTGGACCTGCTTTGGGACCCCGGGAACCGCCGCGCCTGCGTCTTTTGGGCTTGGCAGGTGAGCCATGGGCGGAGCCGACGGGCGAAATGGGGGAGGTACAAAGTGCAAACGAGTTGACCAACCGAACCGAAGCAAAACAAACCAGACAACCCCACCAATTTTGGTGGCAAGTCGGTAAGTTGCAATTTGGGGAGGTACTAAATTAAGCGAGTCTTTGAAGTCACATAAGGTCTCCATCAAAAGCCCAGAACACTATTTTATCCACACTCCTTCGCGGTAACATGGGAAGGTATCTAAATTTCAATTGCTTCTGAACTGAACCCCTGCCAGGTGACATGCGAGTGTCCACAGCTACAGGACCTTTAGGCGTTTTTCTCGTTAACCTTATGTCCGGTCCAAAGCGATCGACCTTCTGGCGTTCTCGGGTTGATAAGGTTCCGAAAGGCCGTGTGCTTCCAGGCCCTTTCACGCTGAACACCAGAAGGGATGACAGTTGGTACATGAGACCAATGCATTTAAGTTTCTGTAGGGAAGAGCGGACATTGTTTGCAGCCCCTTCTTGGATCTGACTTTAAACAGGAAGCCAACGCAACCCTTTTGTATCCCGAATTGTGACACACATCTCAAAAGAATGGGACCTAGGTCAAGGGTAGACTTTGGGCCTTGTTCAACCGAGGGTCAAACACCTGAGAAGATGGAGGCTATGTGGCTGTTGACAGCAGCTCGTTTTTGTGTTGGGGTGTCTTTTTGTGAGGCTTGCCCTTTCCTGGTGGTTTTAAAGGGAGGCCAAATGGAACACCACCAATTTGGGCCGCCTTTAAAAAAGAGACACCCGTGTCAGTGCTGGCTCCGGGGTTGGGAGGCACTTCTGGGCTGTCGCTTTGCCGGGATTTCGCACATCCCTTCATTTTTATCCCTGTGATGCCCGCCGCGATGCTAGCACATATCCCTTGCTGAAATCTAGAGCCCCGAATGTTTCAGAAAACCTTCTGGACAACATGCTTCCAGTCACGCTTGAATATGTCTCAGAGTTGCACCTCGTCCCTTACGTCCTGGCACTATGGCCGGCTTATTGCTTAAACAGATCGGGGTTGCCTATCACTGGTGTGAGGTTGAAGGAATTGGTCATCCCTTTGACGAGCGATGAGCGGATGAGATCATCGCCTGCTGAGTGGAGGGACCATTCAAGTTGAGATGACCATCACTAACACCCAAGTAGACCTGGAGGCAACACGATCGTGGATGCTGTGGTGCTTGGAGCGATGGTGCTGAAGAACTACTACAAATACGGCACAGTTTCCTGCGTGACCTGGTTGTACAGCTGAAAATAGCTGAAATCTTGGGCGCATTCGTTTCGCTTTTGCATGAGGCAATGACCCAGGATATTCTAGATTAGCTTTGCAGGGAGTTCAGCTTCATCATGCTGAGTGTGCCCTTCTTGCCTTCCTTTCTCCATCGAAGCCAGGTCCTGATTGCAGCTAGGCGTTCTTGATACCAAGATCTCAGTCGTCCATGGACATAGTTGCTTCCCACGGCTTTTTGCCATGGATTGGCCGGTCTCTCGATTCTGTTGGGCCTCTGGAGGTGATGTTGAAGCCCTTCGACGCGGCCTGGCCAGAAGAAGACAACGAGACCATTGCGCGGTGCTCGGATCGGTAGCCCCGGCAGTTGAGGTGATTTGGGCGGCTTGTGCAGAGGAGGCTCTGGCCACTTTTGGGTCCCACCACCCCGTTTGCATGAAAAATGTGGCCGGCAACAAGCTTGTAGGAATCCCGGGCTGTGTGCGCAAACAACATGCCTTTCAACGAGTTTTTGCCGACCCCCGCGCTGCTCGCGCGGAAAACAGAGCACAACGAGTGGCTTGTAAGATTTCTGCTCAGCTTGTGCAATCAATTAGTTAATGAAATCGCAAATGCTCATACATGTTCCATGTTTGCACGAGAAATATTACGCGGCGGAAGGTTTGTGCCAACGTTTGCCCTGCTTACCTTATAGCTTGGCACGAATTCCCGTATTGCCTCTGTGAAACAAGGCACACATACATCAAAGGCAGCGGCTGTTCACATTCAAGCTGTCTGCCAAGAGTGGTTGTTTCAATGGACATAGCAGTTCAGATTCACAAGCGTAATTGTCAGGTTAGAGGTATGCTGTTCACCAAGCGTGTTAGCAGGCAAAGTTGCAAAGTGTAGCTTGGTCTGAAGCATCTGCACATCTGGAACTGGAGTCATGTAGGTGCCGAGGGAAGGCAAGCTACTGAGGCAAGCCGCATCCCAAACTTCACATGGGACGTATGACATCAGTTTTGCGACTGCAAGGGTGAACGGATCACTGGCGAAATCTCTGTGGCCAGGCAACTGGAGACCCAACGTAACGCCCCGCAAAGTGAAAGCTGGTATTTCAAATAGCGTGGATCCCGCACGGCCTTCCGTGTCTAATATGCGCAGTATCTTGGGGGATTGCATGGTCATTTTACCATTAGCCCCCCTCCCTCACAGGGTTCTCAGAGCCCTTCCAAGACATGCTTCCCGTTTAACTTTACAGCCCCAACCGTATCACCATGGAGTATATCAGTTTTTATGTGACTCCAACTGCACGCTTTGACTTTGCCCTTTGGGTGGTGCTTCATGGAGTCGAGTCAAGTGAGACATGGCTCGAACGTGGGACCGACACCATTCCAGGAGAATCCTTCTTTGGTGTCAGGCAGACCGTTCCTTGCACCAGGCTTGTGGATCCTCTCAAGCTGTTGGGATCTGTTGGGCTTCTCTCAGGCTGGCGGCGGCCACTTTTTTGTGTACTCACGGAACATCACGGAAGCCGCGTTCAAGGCTCGTGGCTGCGTGGCTGTCTCGGTGCAGTTGAAGCTTGATCACGTGCCCAAATCTCCCACGTGTCCTGTGGAGAACTCGATCGTTGGTTTCAGCTTCTTGGAGGAGCTTGATTTCTATAGCATGTCGCCTAGGTTTGGCCTGATTCGATATATGTGTTGTGTTCGAAATCTAAGTAGAAGATGAAGCATTGGCAAGATATAGCAATGACCACGTGGCTGCGCCTGTGATTAGGGACCCTTGAAGTTGAAAGCGGTGCCCGCGATAAAAGGGGGGCACGTTTCTGCGAACAAATGGTCACTTTGTTTCTTGTAAGTGCAAATGTATTCAGGCCCTACTTTTGCTTTGTTTCGGGCTGCATGATAAGCGGCTGCCAGCCTAAGTTGCAAGCTGCTTGCATCGAGCCGGCGAGCCGGAGTTAACCTGGCGGATCACAAGGGGGATCAACCGAAAGAATCCCCTGGAGCAAGTTGAGCTGAGTCTAGGGGTTCACTTTGCCGAGCTGGCATATACGCCAGACTGGCGTCCTGGGTTTGGAAACCCGCATCTGAAGCCTGCGGGTCAAATCTGGGCCATGTTGGGTCAGCGATTGACGTATTATTGCTCACATGTTTGCCGTTGACTTGACTTGTGGTGGTGGAACCCATTGAAATCCTGGGTGTCGCATGTTTAAACAATGAACATAAGACTCTGGAGGCGACTGGATCCAATGGATAGAATACGCGGTGCTGCCCCTGCACATGTGAAGTCGGGAAACTTGAGTAGTGTGCGCATGTTGCTTCCACTTGGTGAAAGATCCAACGCTCCCCACATCAATAAGGCCCAGTTTTGGAATGACACGGATGAGCAAACATGAGCCTGTATCAGAGGCATTGAGAAGCCTTTAGTTTCTTTTTGTCCGTGATTCATTGTCATAGACCGTAGTCGAAAGCCTTGCCGGATTGCCCAGCGGTATGTGGAAACACTGCACTTCTGCGAACAAGTCTAAGTGTTGTTCTAAAAACACATGTGGTTTGTGATTCGGGGTGTACATTGGTTCAGGTCCCTTGCCGACAATTGTTGAAACCTGTTGGACCGCCGTTGTTCAAACATTCAAAGTAGGTTTGCTTTGAAAGGATTCCATGGAAACTGGTTGTACAACCAAGTTTGCGCCTTTCTGCCCCAAAAGCTGAGCAAGAAAGAAGAGGTGGAAGTGGAACTTTGGCGGCTGGTTCGTGGCTCTTTGGGGGTGTCTCCTTACGGCCCCAAACGGGCTTGGTGCTTTCCTTGTTTTCAAGGCCCACGTCTTACCAGTTGGTGGATCTCCGGCAGCTTCGAAGGCTTTGGGTTCTTCATTACGTCCAAAATGCTGGATTTGTCGGAAGCATTGTTTTGCAACATCGGAAGTTTGGGTTTCCTATAGGTATTGGACTATCCACAATCCAGTCTGTTGGTTGTTTGCGTAGGTTTTTCTCGGTGTGTGTGTGTGTTGCTATGGGAAAAAGGCAATAGATTGACTTCCTATGTGCTTCTGTTGGTGTTGGGTTTTGCTAGGTCTGCGAGTATCCACAATCTAGTATGTTGTGTTGTTTAGGTTTTCCGGTGTGTTTCGGGTAGTGTTTTCCGTGGTTTTGCCGTGGGAAAGACCCACGACTTCCGGCGGTGATCCCCCGCTTCGCCCAGTTGCCGCTGGGCAGCAACTCCCAGTACGCCGCGCGGGTCCGGGAGCGCTGCACGGACCCAGCGCAAGACGGCGCCGGGGACCTGGCCGTCGGATCAGCGCGGATCTGGGTCAGCCAGCAGCGCCTAAGAAAGAGCTCAGAGTTGGGTAAAGGTGGGGTTTATGGGTTGGTCAATCTGTTGGGTTCCCAGTTGTTCAGCGGGTTCCACCCTGAAAATGGTTACAGAAATGGATTCGTCCCCCCAAGAGAAATGGGCCCCTGTTTCTACCAGCGTCACCGTGCAGCTGATGTATGGCTTTTATTGAGGATTCCATTTTGGGATTGTCCTCAAAGGAAACCAACCGGACTCCGCCCATGTTGGAGGTTTGTCTCAAAGAAGGACCCAGCCAGAAGTGTGGAGGGCGCAACCCAAGGGGGCCCAAGGAAGTCATGGGGATACACTCCCCACTACCCTTGCCATTTGAGCTAATTTGTTGGCCATCAAATAGGACCAAGTTGTTTCTTCGTGAAATCACCACTTGGACTATTGTTGTCGCACCCAAAATTAGGCATTACATAAGGGCACACACAATGAGCAGACCTTATTCTGGCCTTATGTTTTGCACGCGGATAAATCAGCTCTGAACAAGGACAGCTCACAAATCTACCTTATTTGAAATTATTTGGACCATATTTTGAAACATGACTCTCCATCAACAAGGATGGCTCACGAATTAACCTTGCGTGGGTCTTATTCGGACCTTATTGTTGGCATCGCAGAAAGCGTTGCTCAAAGACAGTCAGACCCGAATGGCAAGCATGTGTTCATGATTGTTGTTTTGGTGTTGTTTTTCCACTGATGGTTTTCCCCAAGACAAGACTGGAATAAGGCCCGGCAAAAGAAAAACATGCCCTAAGACAGGAGCAGGTTTTTGTTGTTTACTTAGTCTTATTTTGGCATAAGTGTTGCCGCTGCCAATTGGCACCTTATTGAGGCTTAGCTTCATTTTTTCAGGCAACGGAAGTGGTGCAGAACAAGAAATATACGAGCACTGTGGCTGACCCGACTTGGAGGTTTCAAGCGCAGGCTGTAAGTGGAGCAGTTGCAAGCGTGAGTTCTCCAAAAACGGCACCGCGGCACCCGGTAGCTTTGCGTGCCGGATGTTTGCGAGGGGCTGTGAGTGAGTGTCATGGCAGCGGAAGACATGGCCATGGGTCAAAATCCCGTACCCAGTGAACATCCCGATCCCCACTAAAATAGGTTCTTTCCATGGGTGGTGCACCTACCCCAAAATGGTACCATTTGTATTGACCCACAGCCAAATAGCTATTTGCTTGACGGTCAGTGTGTTCGCTCTGAGGAGTGGGGCTATTTGCCGAGCCTGTGGACTGCACCCCCGGTGCAAGCAGAGAGGCGGGCTTCGGGGGCTCCGGGGGCTTTGGGGCTTGAGCCCTTCACATCTTCAAATGAAACGGGCGTGCGGTTTCCTTTGGTACCTTTTTCAGTTTGGCTTGAACGGAAAACCAAAAGGACACCTTTTGTTGCAGGCACTTGGGCCCCAAGTGCCCAGATGTCCTGTGAGGTGTCCTTTAACCCCCATTTGATCCCTTCGGATGGGACATCTAACAAGGGGCTCAAGTCATTGATTTGCGTGCATGAACAGATACAGTGAACACGTTATAGTCATCCAACGACAAAGTCCTTTACAAGCAGCGGAGTCTGTGGATTTGAGGTTGGGTTTTGATATTGAAGGCAACTCTTTACATGACATGGAGTTAACTTCTCATGAAACAGATGTCAATGACAGTCTTCCCTGCTCTTGCATGGAACACAATGAGAGGCTCGCAAAACATGATACCTGTGCAAGATGCCCCTGCAACATACAAGCAGCTGGCAAACCCTAGGGGACTCCAGCAAAGAACTGGCTATGCATTTGTTGGGCTCATGTTCGCCGCGGGCGCAATGGGAGGTTGGAGAACGTGACGATCCTCTTCAACTGGCCCAAGCTGCCGCAGTCTCTGGGCGGGGCTTGGGGAGTCGCCAGATGTGTTCTGGATGTACCTTTCTTCTTTTTCTGTGCCCAAGAAAAAGGTTATGCTTAATCCTTCCCTTGACTTCGGAGAGGATTCCCCTTTCTGTTACTTCCCAACAGTGATCATAAGTGGGAGTGGCCAACACTCCGTTTTGAATAGCTAGGTCTTTCAGGGAGCATCGTCCATGGCCTCAGCTCTGAGACTGTAGGTTCAAAGACCTTGGCTGAAAAACCAAGATGGACCCCCTGAAAGAAGCATTAATCAAAACACACCTCTCCACAAATCCAAGTGTTTGTGGTTCCCGCAATATGGAGAACTATGTCATTGGCTTGCAACTTCTAGAATGTAAGATGAATGAACGGCAGCACGTGTTGGTTGATTATTGTTGTGGCGGTGTCCACATCACAACGTCTTGTACGTGAGGTGTGGAACATCATGTAAGCTTCCGGCAACCTGGAGCATCAATCCGTAGGAACCTGCAACTTCGAAGTCCTGCCCTTGCATTTGCTGGCAAATGCTTGAGCAACCGTGGTATTTGCTCTAAGCTGTTCAAAGGCAATTCTTAGCTCTTCCCTTAGGTCCCAGTCTTCTGATGTGGGCAGACCACTTCTGGTGATTGAGGTGAGTCCAGAGTCCGCATACAATCCAGCAACGGCTTGAGACAAAGGCTGTGTGTTCGGCATGAGCTCAGGACGGTTGAATCGTACTTGCTTACAGCCCGAACTGTTGCGGAGCTCAGAATCAGCTGACCATGGCTGCCCCCAAACGCTTGTTGTCTAAGGGTCGCACGGTGCTCTCTTCATCCTGTCCACTTTCACCACTTTTTCCAGATTCTGGTGATGAAAGCAAGTAAAAATGCTACGGCAGGTTCCCAAACATTGCAAATTGGGACTGTGCAACAAACACTAAGACTCGCTTTGGTGTGTGGTCGGTTTGTCTTGCGGTATTTGAGGAATGACTTGGATAAGCAAGTGAACCGACCACACAGCACTTGACTTGATATGCAAGCTGATTGGCCTGTGCTATGAATGACCAAGCTGATTTGTCCGGCAGTTTCAGCTGATTCCTCGAGCTGCCAAGGCTATCCGTCCGCTTTGTGGCCGGGCCTTCAGGCGAGATCAAACAAGACTGGGGTCTGATGTCAGTCCCTTTGGGCGTCCTACACGTGTGTCCCTCCCAACCATGTCCATTCCCCACCCAAGAATAGTACAATCTGCGATGGTAATGGAGTATGGGGAAGTGTTTAGTAGAGGCTTGACTTGTAGCATCATGTTGTGGTTGCCATGTTTCAGTAAGTCTCTGTGGGAGGAGCGGTCTGGTGGTGAGAGGGAAGCAATAGACATACTAGGAGATGGCTGGGTTGAGCACATCAAGGCGATTTTACTACTGGGGCGCAACTTCTTCAGCCTATGCAGGTTCCTTGCCTCGCGGTCCCTCAAGTCAGCATGGACGGCAGGCATTTCGGGAGGATTGGTTCGCAGGTTTATACACACTCACTTATGACACATTGCTGACGTAACCAGCGATACTGGGCACTTGTGCTAACTGGCTTCCGTGTTGTTTCCCTGGGGTCAAGCCTCGGCTGTTGAAGGCGAAGGCATTCCTGAATTCCTGAGCAAAGCGACCGAGACCTCTCAGCACTTCTGTCAAGAGAGCCTCTAACCTGACCAGACTGTAGCCCTTTGGCCGTACTCACGTTTGAAGGCGCTCAGTCTCTTGAGAAGTGATGTGTCTTCCTTTTTTGCGGGAGTATGTAGTAGCTCGGCGGGCACGAATTTTCCCAATCGACGTTGGGTTGTGGTTCGGTGAGAAGCAATATATATATATATATATATTTGTAGAAGTTTCATCCAGAGCCACATGAAGAAGTTGTGGTTATCTTAGTAAAGTTGTTTAAAGGATCAACGCATGGAAGTTGTTTAAAGGATCAATGCATGGAGCTCGCAGACCCAGTTTTCACGGCGCCGGCGCCGTTTTTTCCCAGCGATCCGAAGGGAGGAGGTGCCTCTATACATGGCTTTTGGTTCAGGTTCCAAAGATGATCCCCAGAGAAGGCAGCCCTCGGTTTCGGGGGTCATGCCCCCCTTGTAAATTTGCAACTTGTGTATTGTCCACTCCAAGTACTGTTAGGACTCAGGACCCTCCCTGGCAAACTTTGGTGGATTTTGCAAGCCGCAAAAACACCGGTGAATTGTTTGAAGCTTTCCCTTCCCTTGTTGATTGAGATAAGCAACGGTCAAGATTTCTCCTCATCCACGGTACTACAGTAAAGGGGATGACCTCACCAAAATCCAATGCCAACACACGGGCACCCCTAAAGTGGTTTGTTTCCCGTGAGTTTGCTATTAAAACCACGACGGGAAGGCTGCCCTGAAGAAAAGAAGCACCAATGTTTACCCGTTTGGCGCTTTCGACTCTGAGACATTGAAGTTCCTGCGTGTTGTTGACCGGCACGCAGACCACGCGCTGGTGCAGCTGGTTTGCAGCTGGTTTGTAGGCACTTTTGCATAGTCTGTCAGAAGGCAATTGAAACGCTGGTGAGTGGGGCTATCTTTCTACCTAGAATTTGATGATTCGCTATGTGTGTTTACCTCCACAAGACCCCGCATCGGTGTTTTGTTATACATGTTGTTGTCCTGAAAGGGAGGATCCACAACAGCAGCCTCCAATTCCAATCTATATCCTGCAGATGCACCAGGGGGAAATGGCGCAATTCCCATCTAAGTGAAGGGGACTAAACAAACATGGTGAATTTCTCCTGGAGCTTTTCGGGTTTGCTTGTCTACTCGGGCCAAGCGGGTCGGCCAGGCTGGCTCGAAGATCTTGCGCCAGATGAGCCTGGATACAACAGCCATAGCCTGCGACCTCAGCCAAAGGTCCCGGTGAGTTACAAGGGTTCTGTGTTGTTGTTGCGCCTATGTCAGGTACGATTATTGAGTCCTGATTACATATGATTATATACTACACATGCATAAAAGTAAATATAATATGTATGTATATGATCATTAGATATCAATTTTACTTCCAGCCAAGTTGTTCCTGCTTTGTCGAAAGACATGTTTGAGGGGGTTTGGTACTGTTCTTTGTCTGGCAGCATTCCCAAACTTCAATCTGACTCTGTCGGCGTGTTGTTGCCGCTGGATGGACTGGCGCTCATCATGTAAAAGCTGCATTTCATATTACTTGTACCTGGTGCTTCTGTGATTTGGCGACGTTGCCGTATCTATGTTTCCTTCTGAGGCGACTGTGTGTACACAGGCTGGTACGTAGAGGCGGGTCTGCCGTCGGCTGGCACATGGCTTACTTTGTTATTGGCATCAGTTGCAAGATGCTGGAGGATTCCCTGGCTCAACGATGGCTTTCTGGATTGCACGTGGTCTTGCCGTGACTTTCGAAAAATCCAGAGACCTGACCCTGAGCGCCTCTCAACGCGCAGGTGGCCGATCCCAGCACACCCAACGACTGGGTTGCCCGGACGCCCAGCTTGGCGCCCACTCCAAAGATTCGATGTTTGTTGGCAACCGGGGATGTCTTGAACTCAACTTGAGGCGAGATATGGGGAACCGTCAAAATTGTCGTCTGTCGAAGTTTGTTTCCTTAGCGGTTCAACGGGAAGCAACATCCCTACTTCTCTTGGGAGGGGAGGCTGCTGACATTGGCTCACCACAGGTGTGGTTGCTTCCTCGGACAAGCTATAGCCTCCAACAGCAACTGTTTGCGCAAGTGTCCAGGGGTAGACCTGTGAGTCATGACCATGTTCGCACTTGACATGTTCAATAAGTGAACATACAAAATGCAAAAGTGGGCAACGACATTTCTATTTCTATGTGTGCAAAAGCTGATCCTCTGCAGGTACAGGAAGAATGCCTGGCGGTGTCCCGCGACTTTGAAGGCGCGATGCGCTGATTCATGTCTGCCTGATTCGCGCGCGTACCTGTAGCTGCGCGTGTTGTTGTATTGTTTGTTTGTTGCCAGTTTGCTCGTTGGAGGCTGGATATGTGTTGTTCTCGCACTTCTTGCGGGGCCTCTCTGTTTTGCTTGTGTGTGCGCGTTCTGCAGGCGCAGCCATTTGGATGTTGCCTTTGTTGGCCTGCTTACGTTTATCAATACTTGCTTCAGAGACCATGTTTGCTGCCGTGAAGCTGCACCGACATCTTCACGGCATCACGCGGTCCAACAGATCATCAAGAGCACACGTCCTCCTGCCAGCTGACCTCGCCAAGCCCTTCTTCGCAGAACGCGCCATCCTTTGCGCAACAGACAGCATCATACAGACGAACCGCGTCCTGATCGTTCTATCTGTGAGTATTGCTAAACCAGCAATCATTTCCAAACCAATACAACCTGGAACCTCCATCGTAGCATAAATTTCTGCCTACCCCCTTGTTCGAGACCAAAATTGACTCGAAGTAGCAGTTTTTGCCTCCCATTCGCTTCCGAGCGCTTTTTGACGATTCGGGCAGAAATCCCATTCGGCCGTGTTTTCTTCTTCCCCATGGTCAAGTTGCCGCCAACACGGGCGCAAAAATGTGCAAAACAAGTGCAAAACGAGCGCAAATCGGCGCACAAAAGCGCAAACGAGCGCAAATTCAAAAATGCTACGAATCGCAGGTAGCAAATTGCATTTGCGCGGATGTCTCGAGCACTTTCTGTTAAAACGAGCGTTTTTTTGAGAAGAACGTGTCACGAGCAAAAATAGTTCGTAGCAATAATTAAGGTAGCAATGGAGGCTCCAGGAACATAATGATGTAATTACGCCATTTGCGAGGCACTTATGTTCCAAAGCCCAGACCAACAGACCAGCAGAAGGGTACCGCCACCAGCCCCCCAGACAACCCACTTGCTTGCCCAAAGCAAAGTGAGCGTTGGTTTCTCCTTATCTCAAGAGAACATTTGGCAAGTCAATCTTCCCACACCCACAATCAACAACTGGCACTTTGACAAAAGCTGCTGGTGCCTTGAAACGCCGATACACGTTGACTTTTCCCTTGGAGTTGGGGCGCTGGGTGAGACGAGCAGGCTGTGACATCAGTAGCGGCTTGGAGTACGGCAAGGACTACTACCTCCGCCTCCGTGAGGGTTGCACCGACCCCTCCGCGCAGGGAAGCCCGAAGAGAAGGGGTGGGAGAAGTTGCCCAGCCCATTGCGGGCACCGGGGTCAGGCAAACATGGCATGTCAAGAGTCAAGAAAAAGCAGTTGCATGAAGATATCTTGCGCATTTTGAAATCAAACAGTGCAGTTTCATGGCAATTGAATGGTGCAATGTTTGCGGGCAATTTTGTGACGCCCAAACAAGGCTCACTGTCGGGCTGATGTTGGACGTGTTTTGGACCCGAAGGATGCAAAGCGCGTCCTTGATTGACGGGAAGTCATTCAATCGGCCACTCGTGCCAAGTGCCACTTTTCTCCATACGTATTGAGGGAGCTATAAATGGGCACCTCAAACGATGGAAACATCTCTCTAGCCGGGAAGTATTGGGAAGCGCCGATCCCTGATTTCAGAGACAAACATAGGATGCAAGCCTGCGCTTGGCAACCTGTCATCAGCATTTACTGATCCTTTGCTCCCGTAATTTCTTAGATTCGGACTGTTGCCCTGCTTTTGCTATTACCTCGCAAGTTGGCATGGAAACCAAAAAGGCGCTTTCTGGCCCAAAAGGAGGCTCCTCTGAACATGTCGGCTTTGTTTTCAAACACCATCGCTTGGAGAGAGTCCATTCATATTCCAGGCCATCCATGTAGAGTCTCTTAAAAGCTCTCTACCATGGAAGATACGCCAAACAGCAAGGGATACCAGCCCAGCAGCCAACGCAGAATGTTTGGGCTGGGACCGCAGACCTGAACTTGGTTCCAGCATACATGGGCTTGTCACAAAATCACCCTGTGAGGGGATGGGAATTGGTCTTTTAGGTTTGGCAGCAACACCACCCCGACCCGGGTACCCCTTAAAGAGACAGGGCTGCGCCCCCTCGGGCTCGCTAGTGAAAGTTGCTCCGCCGCTCTCGTCTAAGGCGGAGCCCGGAGCACGTCTTGCTGGTGACCTCCAGGTGAGTGGCAGACTTTTGCTTGGGATTTTGAGGGTCGCAAGAGAAGCCGCTGAACAACATGTGCAGCTTGCTTGTTTCTATTCCTCACGCAGCCATGGGGCTGCACCGAGCAGAAGAAGGTGCTGGCCTAGCGATTGGCTTGCAAACAAACAGGGCGTGTTGGACCTTGGCTTTGCAGTGTGCCGCCTTTTGAAGGGAGTTTCCAAGGAGGCTTTCATTTGACAAGCCTCCGGTCATGCTTGGAAAAACATGTGGGTATGCGTCTGAATTGGAGAACCCCCGAAATGATGGCTGCGCGTTTGGCTTCCAACCTTAAATCAACCTGTAAAGAGACTCAAACGCCAAACACCGATATATATATATATATATATAACTTTTGGGGTTCGAACATCCCACGCGCTTTCCAGGAGCCTCACACCTGCCTCAGCGCCGGCAGGGAGCCAAGAGCTCTGGCCAAAAGCGAGCCAAGTGGCCATCCAGTGTGCCCTTCCGAATCAGGGGAAGAATCCGGAGTGCCTTTCCAACGGCTTATCCCAAGAGTTTGCAAAGATGGGGATCCCTTCTGTCTGGTTGGTCCTTTGTTTCTTTCTGAAGAGACCAGCCAAGAATGAGTTGTTTCCAAGCATGTCTTTTGATTTTCCATTGCCGGCCCTTCAAAGACGGGTATGGGTGGACCCCATGTTTGAAGAGGAGACATGACGGCTCCTGGCCTTTATTTGATCAATGGAGTCAGGGAGTCAGCAGCAGCAGCAGCAACAACAACGACGACAGCAAGAACAACACCGATAATGTGTGCCATTCTAGGGCTACTTCAACCTGACTCAGCCTCAGATCTACCTTGTAGCAAATCAAGGTATCTCACTTTGTAATTGCTCCCCTGTTCTGCTTGAGTCACGAAGGCGGATGTCAGATACTTCTTGGAGAATTTCGCCCTGTTGGTGGACATCACCTTTGGTCCATGGCAAGTGAGCTGCCTTTTCCGCCCCAAAGATTTGTGTGGGCGGTTTGATTTGTTGTTGGGAGTTTGCGGGGAAATCCGTTGGAATCTCGTGGCATGTTGCAAGGTGCAGCTGAAGGCGAATTCGGACACCTCCTTCTCCTACGAGTTTAGCTGGGCACGGGCCACGGGTTCTGGTTGCTTCGCCATCTCAGAGCTGCAACCCGCCCAACTCACGAAACAACGTCATGTAGGAAATGAATTTTGATGGGAAACACTCCACGAATGCCCGGTGAGCAGAAGTCCCCACATGATGTCCACAGGGTCCCCATATTGGGGAATTTCAAAATTGACGGTCTATTGACTCCTCTTGGGTCAGCAAACAAATTTCCCACAAGAGACTAGGCTGCCAGGCCCATCTACGAAAAGATCACCACTTTCAGCACAGGAGCGCTTTCGGCGCAGAGCGTGCAGTTTTCTCCAACTGAAAACGCGTTCTAAGCGTGGTTGCGAGGCACTGAAGAGAGACATAAGGTGACAGCTACATTCCAGATGGTGAGCGCAATAAGTTCGCATGTTGTTTGAAATGGTTAAAATCGCCACGAGCAGGAGCAGCCCTGTTGGAGACGTTAATTTACTCGCGACTCCTGACTGAGGATACTACCTCAGCTCAATAATTTGTTCAGCCGTTTCGTTTGAATGGTGTTCCAACTTGGGGGGACTCGTCCCCTGATAATGGTAGTAGTTGGAAGCACCAGGTAAAAGCTACCAACTTGGCTCAACTTGTTTGCATTCGTTCCGGTCGACTCAATAGCGATCACCAACATTGCCTCCTTATCACTGTACCGCATTGCCCAAGCATCGGCTGAATTGGGATCAACATACCAAACTTCGACGATTTGTGTGGTTCTTGCATGTTTTGCCGATGGGATCGCCAACTTCGTCCCGAATGCTTGGTGTTTGGCCGCATGTGTCAAAGGACCCTTTGGAAAATCGCGCAATAGAATTGAGGACCTGGGCAGCCATTTGTTAGATACTTGCTCAAGGGGGCACGCGGAATCTTTGGACAACAAAGGGGTTTCTGCGTTTTTTTGACACCTCCCGGCAATTTGTTTCTTTCTCCCGGCCCGACTTAGACCCGTGTGCGGTGCAATCAGCTGAGGAGCCCGGCTTTAGCTACGACTGCACCTTCCAGAGTTGGGAGGTGCAGCTACGATCCTTGAACGACACCAATAGCCTGGAACCTCAGCTTGCAACCCATGGGCCCAGTTTTCGTACGGGGGCGAGTATTGGAAAACAGCAGCCGTGGCAGTTGCAAGTAAGCACAGGTCTCGCATCACCAAGGTGTCACTAATAAAACTGTCCATCCTTTCCTTTGGCAAAATGTGGCAGCCCTCAGAATCCAACCAAATGGCTGCCTGATTGAGCTGGTTTGCCTACTTCCTGCAGATAGCCATGATTATTTAGCTCAAAGATTGCGTCATGATTTTATCAACAACTTGCAGTGCAGGGAAGTACTTCAGTCGATATCAGAAAAAGGCACACTGTTTGAAAAGCAACCATGTTGGATGATTGGCGAAAATGATCGGACATTTCGCCAATCAAGTGTCAAGATATGATGAAGACCAATCGCAGCAACATGGGTTGCAAGCAATACTGTTTTCGCCAAATGTGACGGAAATACACGCAACATGTGTTGGAGATGTAACCAGAACTTGGGTGTTGCTGAGGAAATCAAGGACTCGACAAAATCAATATGTTCGGTCTCCACTGCCTGGCTTGCCCAGTTGATGCGTTTGGCAAGCAGGGGGGGGGGGTGAATCACTTGCAAGCGAACCAAGTAGTACACCACATATGCTTCTCATTGATTATGCCTGCATTGTTTTTGAGTCCTTTTGGCTGGTTGAGTTACACTTAGTGC